CATTTGTTAAGTGCCATCAAACATTCCTCCCACGTAATCACCAACTGCTCAAGAACTGACATTGAGCATGTCAGTTTGAAGTGTTAAGCAAGAAACATTTGGTAGATGAAATTAAGACCCATTTTGTATCAAAACACTAAAGAGATCTGACAGTTTGAGGGTTAATGGCAGCTTTATGACTCATCAGCTTGTTTAATCACTATCTCTATTAACATTTACATGCTAATTTTTTTTTCCTGCAAACCCCTTAAGAATACCCTGGATGCCCTTTGAAACATGACAAGTGAAGCATAAGATGAGAAAAGACCTACTGGATGTCAAAGTGCAACTTCCACAAAAGGATTAGCAGTTTCTTTGAACTGCTCACAGCATATATTTGACACAAAGCATCAGTCTTTAGTGCCTGTCAAAGGAAACCTATTTCAATAAACTAAATGTAATGTGACAGCCAGATAGGACATATGCTCAGAAATTATTTATCCTTACCCTGACGCTCAGAGACTTACTATTATGTATTATTTGTACTGTGCTGTTACCTCTGGGTCCAATCAGGATTAGGGCCCTACTGAGTATAAACACATATAAATAGAAAGATGATCCCCGTATCAAGGAATTTACAGTCTGAAATCCCAATCTTGCAGAGGTATGAGTAGGCAGACTTCTGCCTCCATGTAGACAGCCACTGACTGCAGTGCAGCATCTCTTCGTACAGTTAATGTTTTAGATCTGTGAATTTCACTGAGCTTAATGGAATGTGTCTATCTAGCTCTGATGTCACTGAGATAACCACATCTTATAGAAAAAACAAAACAAAATAAACCACCAAAAACCCTCCTTAAGGGGTGGACAGAAAGACAAAAATTTGGAATTTTTCTCAGGCAACTTAATTCACTCTTTTAAACAAACCCCAAATTTGGACAATCATGTCACCTCAGGTTGTAATGTTTTATCTCCCAGGCTAAAGGGGTCAGAATGGGATGGCAAAAAGAAAGGAAGACTGCTCCGGAAAAGTCAGGTGCTGAAACAATAAATGTTAATCATGATTTAATCAAGTGGCAACCTTCCTTCTGAGTTGCTGTTTAACAGCACAGCACTGGACTGCTGTGGTCCTTGGGTGAGGCATAAATTAAACTTCTGTGCAACTTGTGGTCATTAAAAACATGATAGTACTTTCAGAGAAATGGAGGCATTAGCTTCAGGCTGTTGGTTAAATTGAAATGTGTGTAGGTATATTCTGCCTACTAAATCCCCATGTGGTCTCTTAGATATGCTGTTTCTTCATTTCTGGTACAAAACAACAACTCTACACAACAATTTAAAAGTAAACAACTACCAAGGACCTGCCAAGAGGAGCATATTCACAGCATAGGATACAAATGGTTACACACGTTCCCTCCCATTCATGTTGCCTTCTATACAAGCCCATGCCTATGACTTATACAAACAGCACAGGTTCTTAAGCCCTTCAGAAACTGGGCAGAGCCAATATGGTATACAAATATTAAAAGCTATATGTTCTACATTTGTTTCACAATATAGAACAAAATGTGATAGGTCTATAGGCAATATTTTCCTAACTATACTGGAGTTTGTTTGTCAACATTTCTTTAAGTGACTAAGATGATAGTAAAACCATATGCAAGCAGCACCAGTAGAATACTCTGCAGTAAGCATAGATAAGTGACACTGAAAAAATACCCTGTAAAAACCATATGGAGGGAACATGAAACATGGCTTTTCCCAATCCTATTGACTTTTGGCAGTCTCAATGGCCCAGTGAGTAAAACACATTTTATACCTTTTTGTACATTGGCACATCATCACTGCAGTTGTATTCTGGGTGATGTGTGTGCTGCCTTTATTTTACTTATTTTTAAATTTATCAGAACAAGCCTAGCATGAATGTCCCTAGGCAGATGATCATAATTTAGGAAGTATAAACAATGTAGTGACTATGATCATAGTAAACTAATTGCTGAGCCTTGCAATGACTTCCAATTCAATAGGATTTGCACTACATGCAATGTACTTTAAGGCCCCAGGGATGGAGCTATAGGCCCTTCACTGGGAAATCGCTGCTACTAGTCTAAGACACCTAATGTTTAACTAGAAAAGTACTGCCCTGCAAGATGGTAACTTCCAACATTGTTCTCTAATCAATTTATACACAAAAGAAAGGAGTTAAGTCTCCCATCCCAATCACAGCAGATATTGTACCTGTGCTGGAGCTATATGTCTTGACACCCTCATACCTCTCCCTCTTGCCACACACGCCAGTGACAGTAGGAGTAGTGGCAAAGCATATACATATGAAAGGAAGGAAAACGAATCCAGAAAACACATTAGAGAAAAATCATAATAGAAATATATTATATAAAATCCCATCATCAAGTCCCCAACTTACCCTATAGGCTGACTTTCCTACCTACACACCAAACTTCAGCTGCTCCCTTCAACACATACTATCTCAGCAAATTGCATTATAATCCAAAACCTATCATACCTTTTCTTTTTCTGTAATAAGACCTACAGCTAGTTCAATAAAGGTCCTTTGGAATTAAGACTATATTACCAAACAATAATCATGATCTTACGTGCCTCAGTTTCCCTGACTAGCTTGAACATGAGGAAAGAAGAGCTAGAGTCCCTGCTAGGACTCAGAGCTACCTGCATGTGGGATGAGAAAAGACGGACCTGAAGCAGCACAGGAGGATTGGACGTGACACCTGGGAGACTTCCAGGAAAGAGAGGGATGGTGCAGCCTACAAAGCAAGGTTTTCACCTGGAGTTGGACAGAGTCTGAAGCAAGGAAACAGCTGAGCTAACTGGGTATTCAAGGATATTTGGGTTGGACTGGGGACAAAAGGACTGTTTAACCCTTTTGAGGGGTCATGGTCTTTCTGCTCTTTCACCTCTGCCCCCAGCTAAATACCTTGATTGAAGAGGATGTGTCTGTTTTGCTGCTTGGAACTTGCTTCTTTCCCCTTTGACGCGGCTGGGGTCACAGGATTAAGAGGAGTCAGGATTCCCTCTCTGGATACTGCCCAGAAGCCACACCCAGACTGGCTTCAGTGGGTACTCAGAGAGACCAGACAAGGCTAGAAATCCCAAGCCCTGATCCGCGCACAGAATCTGCTGGCCATGTCCACAGCTGATGCCACTGCCCACATGGTGCTGCTTTCAGTGCATGAGGCAGGAGCTGGTGTAAGCTGTGGAAGGGGCCAGGACATGCCCGGCATGACCCACCAGCTGGATCCCATGACTTTGCAACTGCCTGCAGGTCAGGCACAATCAGTTGGTGGGCTGGATCTGGCCCACAGGGTATATTTTGCCCACCCCTGATCTAAAAACATCGCTGAATGCTTCCAGAAACATTCCTAACATCCCAGTAACTACTTGTAGAGTTATGTAAGCCTGGAAATAATGCAACTCAAGTGCAAGTGAAAGTGAAAGTAGTTAAGTTTCAGGCTTTAGTTGAACACAAAAAAGATCTCCATCTGAAACATTTTTAAGGCCCATTAAAATGGTAACGTGAAAGCTGCTGCATCTCTGGAGCAACAGATTTTTTTAACAGAGTTTCTAAGCTTGATTTTGATTTTATAATGCACCATGACACAGCTAGAAGACAGGACAGAGTGGCATCTTATAAACTAATTCAGAGAGGCATAAGCTTTCGTAAGCAACATCTTAGTTTGTCACAACTGGTAGTGTGATAGAGCTTCTGGCTGAAGCCATTCCTATTCCCAACTCATTGTCTCAAAGCGCTAATCTTAAATGACTTCACACAACTCAGGATGCATCTACACATCACAGTGCAGTACCATACAGAAATTACCCAAGTGTTACTGTGGTGCTCCTTCAGAGCTAGTATGCCCTCCCAGAAAAGCAGGGTGAAGTAGCCCAGTTGGAGCTTTTCACCTACTGCTTGAAATAGCCTGGAATTATACTGGGCTGTATAAACATGCCATCACTCGGTGTGTGTAGCATGCTTCCTTTTCTACACTAAGTTCTAACAAACTGAGATTTTAAAGCAAAATTCAATGGACACTAAACCATGAGAACTGAGAGCAGGGAAAAACAGTTTTAATGAGAACTGGATATACATTTCATTCATGCAACATATTTGTGGAATTCAGTTCTTTTCTTTCTCATCAACTTGGCAGACTGAATTTCTTAGAAACTTGCATTTGAAACTGAAATTGTTTATGAAATATCTTTGTAAATTCCAGGGTACAGTATACCTGCAAATTTTTCACCATGAGTAGTCCTTTAGATATTCAACATGTATCCCTGAGAGTATTTGAACCATGTAATTGGTTACTAAAATCACATGGTGTTACATCCCTTCTTTGATTGGTTTACCTAAACGTCATTAATGACTTCTGCATATGTTGTGACGATATGAATCTCAGCTATGGTTTAAAAAAAACATTTCTCACAAGCATTTTAATTCATACAAGTTTCCCAACATGAATGTTAACAAAAAGCAAATGGTTTCACAGCTCTCACAAAATTGCCTCCAGAAATGTATAAACCTTTTGAATATTTCTCTCACTATACTCCCAGTACTAAAGCCAGCAAAGTTGTATGCAAACCTACTGAAAAGCCTAACTAAAAGGAAACTGAGCTATTTCACCAGTTTCCCATTATACGTCTTCAGGCACCATGTTTATGGTTTCTGTGTTTAAATACTGGCGAATTCTTGGTTCTTCTAAAATTAAAGACAAAATTCCGTTTACCTAAGGTAACCAGAAATTGGCCCTACATAAACAAGTGTTTTAATACTAATGAAAATATACAGTTCACCTGAAAGCTCATCTGTCTTATCACCGTTTCTCTCTGGTAACAAAAGTATAACACAGAAGAAATAAGACATTTTGTAACAGCAAGGCTGTGAATTAAAATGCATACAATTGAAAAAGAAAACAAAACACTTTCTGTTTATACAAATCATCTAGTGATACATTATACATGGCATTTTTGGGTAGAATATACCTTACCTTTCAACCGAGGACTGTGCACGTGCATTCTCTGCAGATGGAGATTTATTGGAACAAATTCTAGTGTCTTTTCTCCTTTACTACAGCTTGATTTGAAGGAAGATCCTGGAAAACAAAAGTTTAAAGAATCATTATCTTAAGCACCCACCAGATGTTTTCTCATTTTTTAAAATGTGAGGACAATAGTTTATGTCAGCAGCATCCTTTAATTTGCTTTTAATGTGTAATTGTGTATTAAGAAAAGAATGGCTTCCTAGCTGCATCTCAGCATGTACCCATATTGCAGCCGACAAAACAGCTTTTAATTCATAAACCAATCTAATTTTTTTCTAGGTGATAGACATTGTTCCTGCTGTCTGCAATCGGTCTGTAGCATGGTGGAAAAGATGCCAGAATTAACACATATTATGTTTATACTGTGCTAAAATACAAGGGCACCATGCAAAGGTGCTACACATTTGCATAGGCAAAGGAATGCTTAATATTTTTTTTAAATCAAAACTTTTATAGTGATTATGCCATTGTTTTCCTCCCAGAAAGTTCAAAAATACATTGATTGGCTTACATTTCAGTAGGTTTAAATTAGCTTTCAAGTAGGATTAAAAGATTCTTCATACTCATCACATCAAAAGTAGAAGATTATGAGAAACTATGTAACACTGTTATGAAAGTTTCTTGTGCAACTTCAAAATGATACCCTTGCACATGGGGATTATACTAGTCTTTCATGACAATCACAAATTACTTTCTTCCACAAGACCCATACCTCATTCAGTGTATAGAATGGAGAACGCTCACAAAGAGAAAGCAAAATAATCATTAATCCTCGATATTTTTTAGTCGGTGGCATAACCTATTAAATGAACCCTTCAAATCCTGCTTGGAAAAGAGAATTTCCTTACAGGTTTTTTCTACAATGTGTGTCACTAAAGTGCTTCACAGAGAATAATGAATATATTGTAATTCTACCCATATGATGCCCATTATACAGACAATGAACTGAGGCACAAACTCTATAAGGTTAAAAGCATCCATTAACTCTGACATCCAGGACCTGATCTGCAGAGTACTTAGCACTACATAGCATTTTGTATGTTAAAAGCAGAGCTCCCTTTGAGTATTAATCACTTCAGAAAAACAGATCATGATTTTTCAAGCTAAGCACCTGAAAGATGAGGTATACACAATTAGTTATCCCCTGTAAAAGTCTTCTTTAAATGACTTATCAAGCACTGCACAGAAAGTCTGCACTGGAGGAAAGACTCCAAAAACTAAAATTTTTGGTTTAGCCAGAAAAAAATAAAAATAAAAATAATCTCTGAAAAAGGGTATGGGGAGCCAGTGTTAGGACCAAGTTTTGAAACCAGGATACAGACTGAGGTTCAGGGTCAAAGTCAAGAATCAAGAAGAAAATCAAAAGATGGAGTGCAGTTTGGAGAAACAGCCAAAAACATCAACGTTAATAAGCACAGAATAACTATAGATGCTGCCCTAAATCACAGAGCTACTGGCCACAAATCACAATCGCATAAGGCCAGTCTATCCGTGGTTACTCTGGACTAGTTTACTCAGAAAGCAGTTAGTCACAGACCTCAGCTGGGGAGAACGCTGGCTCAGGTTGACTGCTACTGACTGGTAACTCTAACAAACCGCAAACTTTTGGTTGGAAACAGAAATAGTTTGCCATTTTCAAAACTGTTCTTTTTTGGCAGAAGCTATTTGCTGAACTGAACACACATTCATAAACAGTTTTGGTCTGCCCTAAAACTCTATTTCTCAGTCAAAATAATTTCAAAAGCTTAACCACAGTTTCTGACTCATTCATTTTACATTTTCTAACTTATATAATAAATTAACCAGACCACTGACAACAGCCTTCTTTACTATGGAAACCAAATTCATCCCCAGAACTACTCTTAGCCTCTGCATTGAATTATACAAGGATTTTGTGGGGGAAAGCAGAATGTAAGTTTGTATCATAATGAATAAATATAAGGTGGGCCAAATTAATGTTGCATAAGCATCCTTAATTCTGGTACTTCTTGCATACTTGAACTGAAGTCTTAATAACATTTCTCTTAATGTTGTTTTTTTGGATGTGCAATATGTAACAATTTACATCTCCTATGCCTCTGATCAGACGTTATATTTAAAACCATTATAATCTACGCTTCTTGCAGAAAATACTCTTCTGACTTCCTTTTTCAAAGGCCCATTTTCATTCAAACTGAAGCAATACTTATTTGGGTGGAAAAAATTCAGGGAAATTAAATAGTGAAATTAAATTTGCAATTTTCAGGTTACTGTGGGTGTTCTTTTTGGTTTAGACAACCTTTAAAGTGTTCTTTTAATCTCATGCTTTCCTCTTACTAATACAAATGAAAAAGTTAAAAAACCATCTTTGTACATAGTTGAGCACTGAGATCTCTGGACCCTTCTTCTTTGATATATTAATAATAAATCTAATACTTTATTACTTGTTTTTCTTTTGTATTCCAAGACAGATAAATATATATATATATTTAATTTTACTCAGCATTATCATATTTTAATGAAAAGGACTAGGGACAAATTTGTGAAAACAATAAATGGAAAGATGAATCTCTGTGCAATAGAAGAATTGATTCAGGAAGAAAAACATCTGGCAGAAACAAGTAATGGTCTATACAGAGAATCTATAGATACTAAGTTCTACAGACCAAAGATAGAAGATATCAGGAGAGCTTCATTAAAACTTTGTCAGGATTAATCAAAGAAGGCTATTAAAAAACATTGGTAGGTCTAAAGTAAAGGAACAGTCTGAACCAGTTTGATTGAGAAGGGGATTGGGACACATTCTAATATTGTTAGTAGACAAGAGGGAAACAACAATCCTAATAATGTAGATTTAAATTAGCTACATGGGGAAAGATGCCTTCCTTTGGTTTTGAGATATCACCTAATAAATACCTGTGCATTTTATAAATAAGAAACAGTTAGAGATAATTTAGCACACGATACAGATATAATAACTGTAACAAAGGAAACATCATGAATTTCACAGGTTTTAGGAACCCAAATTGAGAGCAATATGTATCTCACAAAAAGGCACTCAGTACCTCAAGAGTACCAAACTTTAAGACACCAAAGAGTAATTTATAATAAATAATTCATAATGTAAACTGAAATGGAGATTTTTGAGGGAAGTCTGAAATGGAATGAAATATGCTGTTTGTGGATGAAGATATATATTACAGAAAGATAAATGGATACACATAAATCAAAAAAGGACCATTCACAGTATAAATTTCAGTGTTTATATAGATCTTTCCTGGATTGAGGCCCAATAGTAAAAAAAAATAAATAAAAAAATAAAAAAAGTCATATATAAGCCAACTAACTTTACAGTTAAATTATCTGGCCTTCATCTCTTAAATGATTATGCACACACAGTGATGGTTATACAGTTGGCTCAAAAGAAAAAATGGAAGTACAGTAATAATTAAAACTGCCAATAAAAATGCATAATTAAGGCAGTCAAATAAGCTCAGGTTGTGGAAAAATGACAACGCTAGTTACGTCTTTCCTGATAGTTAAGTTAACCTTAAGGTCACTCGCTAGACCAGGACTGTCCAAATTCTCAGCCTTCTAAAGCTACATGGACACAGCCTCCCGGCCCCCCTGACTGTACCATGTGGGTGTGCAAGTACCCCTCTGTCCACCACTGCAGTGGGCACACTGTCTCCCCCACCCCACTGGATAGGGCAGGCACATGAGTGTGAATCTCATTCCCCTGCTAGAAAGCATGAGCAAGATTCCTCAACTCTGCTGGAACACTTGAGTACAACTCCACTTTCCCCACCCCCTTGCTGAATGTATGCCCACCCGGGAGCCTCCCAGCTGTTGTATCGCACGACCCTGGACTCACCCTCAGTTCCCTCTGCCCCTCACTGCACTACCTCACCAGGAAGCATCAGCCAGAGAAAGAAAGGGGATCTCAGAAACTCTCTCTGTTGTTGCAGCTGAAGCAATGGAAGGGAGGGTGAGAGGGAGGGGAGGCAGTAGGACGAGAGCCCAGGGGCTGCAACTTAATCCCTTGTAGGACCATGGGCTGCCAGTCAGACAGCCCTGCTCCAGGCCTGTCCGACTATCTATATCACTATGCTTCTCCCTTGGTGGCCATCCAGCCCAGCTGCAGAAGCTCTGTTGAACCTGGTCAGTCCCACTCCTGCTTAGCCCTCCACTTTCAGCTGTATGTTTAGAAGTCATCTGCACACTGCAGACTTTGAGTGGAGGACATCTGCCAGCAACAGTCCCACTATTCCCTGTTCCTGTCTTCCTGCATGCCAGTCCTTCTCTCAACCACCCATAACCAGAGATAACCCCAGAGAAGAGACAAGTACTCTGAAGACATACTGATATTCCTAAAAAGGTTTTATATAGAAAACTGGAGTATACCTTACTGCCATGTTTTGAGAGAAAACCAGCACAATATGGATGTCTTGGTGCAGATTATAAGGTGTGCTAGAGATAAGGAAGGGCAGCTCCCATGGCTGATTTAGGATGACTTCAAAGTCAATACTAAATATTTCTTAAGTTTCAGTTTTATTCGTTTTCCATTTTGGTTGCAGTGCATAACCAACGGCATATTCAGTATACACTGATCAAGTAAAAATGATACAGATAAGTTCACTGTTAATAGTACATTGGGATAGAATGCAAAACTTTTTTGAAACAGTACAAACTGCCCTTTTCATCCTTGCACCAATGTATATGATAATATATTTAGAATTTCTACAATTCGACCTCAGCATGGAAAACTCTACTTTAAGGAACCCATAAGAGTCTGAAGCAAAAACCTACCTTTAAGAGCAAAACAAAAAATCTCAGGTCCTGTATGCACAGCACATTTACACTGGTGCAATTTATTCTGGTTTTGTACACTGATGAGTACACTACACTGAGATATGGACTGGACAGACATTCAGCTATGCTGGAATTGCTATTATAGCCCCTTGCCACTGGGGGCAGAGGAGCAGGTATTAGCCTGTTTGACCATAACAAATGGTTACCTCATAATAACTGCAGATACTCAAGGCGTTTCTGCATAATTTACACTAGTTTTACCTTTGATTTGTCCTGGGGTAGTTTAAGATTCAAGTTACTATGGTACATTTGGCATCCACTGTCTGATTACACCAGTGTAAAGGTCAATTACATCAGTGTAAATGTGTTTTGTCTCAAGTCCTCAGCCAAGGGTCCAAAGGCAACATGTATATTGTGAGCCTTCAAACCACCCTGGCTTCTGAAGGTTCACTTGAGCAACCTGTATACCTTACTTTGGGGGATGAATCTTGCACTCTCAAAGGGATCAGAATAAAAGTTTGGAGCCTTGGTATGGCACGTTATGCATTTATGTAGTGTTCAAAAGCATGTTAGAGACCGTAGGGTGGAAACAGATTTTGCCTTTGTGCTACCATAATAAATTTTTTGCCTGCCTGGGTTCCCCCATTTGTAATTTCCCAGGTGTCTGTCAACACTTCAGTGTGATCCCAGCTACAGGATCACACTGGAGTATCTAACTCAGTCCTGGGGCTGAGACCACCAATCAGTTACAGTGCTGGGACCACGCTGCAGTTTCCAATTTGCTCTGGTGTGGCATCTGGGGCACCAGGGAAAGCCGGAGTTTCTCTACTTACAGAGACATACCGTGGGGATTCCCAGGGCTCGTTTCTCTAAGTGGGGAAAACGTTGCCTGTTGTCCTGCAAGATCAATGCGTGGGACAACAGGTGGTATATGTTTTGCCCAACAAAGTGGATCATTTATACCGGGACACAACCTAGAACAGCTGATCCATTTCATTTAACAACATCTATTTATAGCCTTACAGAACACATATAAAGGCCAGTATTCTGAAAGATTTATAATCTAACTTTACCTGCATCTTAATAAACTAGAATTAAAATAATAAAAATATGGGGCAAGGAAAATGGTTTCAGTGTGCACACATCTCAACGGTTCCGCTACAATGGCTTTCTCAAAACAGTAATTAAGCCACTTTTTGTGGCTTAATGTGAAAAAGACAGGTTTTTACATATATCAACAAATACCTTTCAATATTGATTAATACAAAAACAATTAGCAGAAGTGAATTTTAAGGAAGGGTCTGAATGTTAGTCTTCCAATTATCCGTTCATTCTTTATTTCTCATCTCTTTTTTATGTATGCTTATTTTGTTCTCTTCAGTAATCTTAGCTTTCACAATCCCTAGTGGCCATCTCAGAAAACATTTAAGAAAAATAAATCAGAACCATCAACTTGCTCAAACTCACTTAGCTCATTAAAGATTTAATGATATGTTTGAAAGTCAGACTACCTAATGTTTAACAGCTTGCAGTCCAACAGGAAGCTATTCTAAATACTTGCATCTAGAGAGGGGGCTTTTTTGGTGCGTGTGTGTAAATAAGAAATCCATTGTTCTTGAATGATTAATAGGTTATTGAAATTGTGATCCAAATGGGTTTTACTATTTATATCCACATGTAATTGCCATATAATATAACCTCCAGAGTATGGTTTTAATAAATCTTAAATGATGGGATCCAGGAATTGTTTGTTTGACAGCCTCTTTTGTAAACAAGCACCGAATCACATTTAGGTATCATGATCATTTTAAAAATAAAATGAGACACAAAAAGGATGAGTGAATTGTTCATACCATTACCATTTTGGAAGAGAAAGATTTGTCTTTGAGACGCTTCATATTTTTTTGTACACATAAGAGACAGTTTCATAACCGGACTGATAAAAAGCTGGAAATAGAAATAGGCAAATACTGTAAAATATATCCCAAATCTTTATTTGGAATTTTAAAATTACTATTCACATCTCTTCTGTATTTGTTTTTTTACAAATATTCCAAGCTGCAGTCTCCCAACTGGTTATGCAGAGGCAAAAATTTGTACCTGCAGGGAATTGTGTAGGCTTTAATTGTGTTCTACAAAAAAACCCCATGCACAGTAAATGGTAGGCTCACAGCATACATGACCACATATGTTGGTGGAAATGTTTATCAAGAAATATTTTTTTATGGCATGTCTATTTCTCTGGTCCCTGTGGCACCTCTGTACAGCACACTCCACTTGCCCATTTTAACTCTGCACAGGACAAAAGTGGAAAAGTGGTGCTGAAGATACAGCGAGGGTGCTGAAGATGCAGATGCTCTTAAGAGCTGCCTCTAATATGCCTGACAGCAGGGACTGGGCAATACCCTAAGCACAGCTTCACCATCTCATTTCTAGGGTTGGCATGAGTGATTCAGGGGACAGTGATTTGATTCAGTGATTCAAATCACTGTTCTGAATTGATGTGGCCGAATCTGATTTGAAGATTTGGCCACTGCCAGATCGGCCGAATTTCTGAATCAAACAGGCCCCATTCGCTGCCCGCTCTCCATGTCAGGATTAGTTTGCTCCAGCTCAAACTGCACTGGAGTTTATTCAGTTGCATTAATTGCACGTGTAATTGTACCCACTGTAGAGGGTTTTGGCTTCCTTTGTAGTGGGGGCTCTTGGATCTCTTAAGTGCATTTTAACAACACTTGCAGCAGCAGGACACTGGCTGTCACTGTCCCCCTGCTTTACCTCTGGCATGTTAGGGTGTTATGCCTTGTGGCTGTGTGTCAGAGTTGACTACATATTTTTACTAATGGGTTAGACAATGGATTTGCATAGGATGGTTTGCATAGGAATTCTCCTGTCTCTGGGAGCGGTTTGGAAGGGCTGGGACCAGTCAGTTCCCTACCAGTAACTCAGGAGGAAGGAGCTGTCTGCCATGAAAAGAGGGGTTATGACCTCCAGAGGTCCCTTCCAGTCCTACTTTTCTATCATTTTATGATTAACTGTGCTTTTATTTCTGCTGCATACCCTCATATAAAATACTGATTAACTTAGGTATTTGTTCCTCTGAAGGACCGTGGAGATTATTTTCATACCTGTGTGCTTCCCAAGTTCTGCAAGAGTGTCTTGGTACATGTTCAACATCTGATCACAGTGCGCAATTACACTTTTACGCATATTGTCCCAATGAGGAGCAAGTTCCCCCAACTCTTTTAGTTCTTGATTCCTGTATGAAAAGGAAAAAATATAGCATTAGCCCAATTACTGAGTGTTAAGAAAACATACAACAGCTCCATTTGTTGAAAGAAAAATCTAATATTTAATGGTTATAAACTATTAATCTGTTCTTTATACAATGTTTCAAATAGACTTTTGATGGAGTTTCTGTTTTAAATGGAGACCAGCTAGTACTAGATATAAAGTCATTACAACCTCACATCTGTTTCGTGACCTATGTGAAATGAGCTCAGCTCTCAAAGAACAGTATTACTGAGTTGTGAAGAAAATGGTGTTCAGTAGGCATAACTTCAGTGGCATGAGGACTATTCTGTATCCCAAAAAAAATGCCTCTTTCCGGGACAAGGAGGAAATGAACCATCAATCAGCATTGTGAAGACATGTTAACTGCTACTTTGCTGGGCATAAAGTTCCTCAATACTTTATTTCTCTTTCATAAATGTTATTCTTACTCTGAAAAAAACCCTATACAAAGAAACCCAAATGCAGCATTTCTAAAAACATCAGCAAAACCAACAACCATTTTCCCCTCCCCCTCAACTGTTATCAAGTGCTGAATCAGGATGCATTCTTCCAATGCTTAATCTTCATCCTTGCAGCTGCATTCACTAGGTCAAAATACCAGTGTTGTGGAAACTAGACATGTCATTGAAAATCCAAAAGGAAATCCTTTAGCAAATTATTCATTTTCCTGTGCGTTCTTTTGAGAGTTTACTTGAACAAAATTGAGATCACTTTAATATCCTACACAAACAAGTGCAGCTATAGTGAATTAGGCCTTTCTGTTTTTTCTCCCCCAACCTGCTACTCAAGTTTATCTTAAAGTTTCCATTAATGTTTGGTGTCCCTGCTTCACAGAAAACACACACAATTTTCAAAGGCGTTGAAAAGTACAGATTTTGATTCTATACCACACTGAATTGTTCAGAAGAAAACTTGAATGATATTATGAAAGTTTTGCTCACTTCTACCACTAGTTTATACAGAGCCACAAGACAATGACTGGAAGCTGAGAGATTGTTTTAACATAATTTGTATGAACCACTTTCTCAGAGTTGTCAGTTAGTAAAAAAACCCAACAAACCAACCCCCACCCCCCAAAAAAACAAAACAAAATTAACAACAATTCTAAGGAATTCTGGACAGGAGCCAGTGATTCACAAAACCTTTTTGTTTTTAATTCCTTATATTTTGCCATCATCACTTCAAGTATATACGATTAGACTGAATTTATACTGAACTGGAACACAACAACAAAATTCAAAACAATGCCAGTAGAAGTAAGTATGATTAGACTCTACTTTATTCTTAAATTCAGTTACTGATGTTATTAGATACATCTTAAAAATAAATGTGGTAGTTAAATTTACATTTAACTACCATATTTACTCAAATATAAGACAACCCTGAATATAAGGGAGGAATATAAGGGAATTATGCTGAGGGGAAACCAGCACGGGTTCGTGGCAGGCAGATCGTGCCTGACCAATCTAGTCTCTTTTTATGACCAGGTTACGAAACGCCTGGACACAGGAGGAGGGGTGGATGTCATATACTTAGACTTCAGGAAGGCCTTCGATACGGTATCCCATCCCATACTGGTGAACAAATTAAGAGGCTGTGACTTGGATGACTACACAGTCCGTTGGGTGGCGAATTGGCTGGAGGGTCGCACCCAGAGAGTCGTGGTGGATGGGTCAGTTTCGACCTGGAAGGGTGTGGGCAGTGGGGTCCCGCAGGGCTTGGTCCTTGGACCGATACTCTTTAATGTCTTCATCAGCGACTTGGACGAGGGAGTGAAATGTACTCTGTCCAAGTTTGCAGATGACACAAAGCTATGGGGAGAAGTGGACACGCCGGAGGGCAAGGAACAGCCGCAAGCAGACCTGGACAGGTTGGACAAGTGGGCAGAAAACAACAGAATGCAGTTCAACAAGGAGAAATGCAAAGTGCTGCACCTAGGGAGGAAAAATGTCCAGCACACCTACAGCCTAGGGAATGACCTGCTGGGTGGCATGGAAGTGGAAAGGGATCTTGGAGTCCTAGTGGACTCCAAGATGAACATGAGTCGGCAGTGTGACGAAGCCATAAGAAAAGCTAATGGCACTTTATCGTGCATCAGCAGATGCATGACAAATAGGTCCAAGGAGGCGATACTTCCCCTCTATCGGGCGCTGGTCAGACCGCAGTTGGAGTACTGCGTGCAATTCTGGGCACCGCACTTCAAGAGGGATG